GTGACAGCTTCATTGACCGAAAGAACCCACATAGACGATTTCGGGAATCAGTAAATTTCCACATATTCAAGTAATCCAAGTGAATGTCCATGTTCAAACATTTCCCACTCTTTAAGTGTTACCGTTTACAACAATATGACATTCACCATTATAATTAGATGTTGTAGTGCAGAAGAATAAACCACTGAAGAAGTGCAGACCAGTGGCAGTGGGTTTTACATGTTATTCACGTTAAAGTATCCAGCATTATCAAGGAGATATATTCACTGTTAGGTGAAGTACTAGAGAAATCTGTTGTGTAACATTGTTGCAAATATGTTGCTTTTATGGTTGATCTCTAAGATTTAAACATTGTGATCATCCAGAAATTTGAGTAATTCGAGGATAGATAAATGTTCACGTGGTGGCAGAGTCAAATGAATGACTGGGACCGGTAATTCTTACTCATTAAATAGCAAATTTTGTAACAACACAGTTTCATTCTTTTGAGAAACAATAGGATGTTGAGAAATGGCAGCACATATTCTTCATTTGAATCCTGTTTTCACCATTGAAGGTTATCTAGATGATGTTGGTTTTCGAAGTCTTTAGTTAAATCCTTCGTTTGTTTAGTGTTCAGATTTTGAGGTAATTTGGTAAGTTTTCATCATGATCCACTTTCTTTAAAAATTAGTGATATCTTCAACCTTCATATTTTTACCATCTGAAATTTTGGTGGCAATATTGGGACATCACTAATTTACGAAACTTTTGAGACATCTGAGCCAATAATTTGTGCTTAACTTTGTCTACAATGATCTGTTTTTTCGTACTCCCAGTCATCATAGTACCAATGGATTGAATGTGAGGGCTTGTATCCAAGCCATTTACACAAGATATTTGATTGTCATCAGAGTAACTATATGCGATTTGAACTGTGGTGACAAACTCAGCACTAGTGTAACAAACTTTGATAGAAGAGTACAAGCAAATAAAAACACTTTGGCTATTCAGTAACTACCAGATTTATGCACTAGTCAACTAAAGATTAACTCGAGTTTCCCGTTTTTCAATGATTTTTCAAAGTGTTTGAGACTCAGGTGAATGATATTGGTGGTATTGTATTCTCTGACCTAGAAGATTCGGTCATTGTGCTGTCATTGTCTTTCTTGACATTAAGTTCTGCACTAACTTGTATGTGTTTGTGAATGGCAGATCTGTCGAATATACAATTATTCTCCAAGGTAAGATACAAAATGTTATTGACGCTTTGATAAAGCCAGTTCGCTCATGAGACTGGATACAGATTGTCGCATATCAAGATTATTATCATCAAAAAGTTGTTAAATAGTAAATGGATGGTCATCTGTTTATCGTGAAACGTAGGGTTCCTAGATTTGATATGGTACTTTTTCAAAATTATATACTTATGCAAAGCCCTTAACTAAGATGAAAGATCCTTCTAGTGATCCTTATTTATCAGAGCTTATCCAGATGTGACTTTGTCATGAAAATTAACCTCATATTAAATCATTCCACAAATTATTATATTGAGAATAACTCAATGCAAATTAATATGGTAACAAGGCCACAATAATTGTGAAGGAACTTTAATAACTTATATGAAGACTAAAGTCAATCCCAAGGAGAATAAAATGTCTGAATACAAATAGCATGGAAAGAAGAGTCGTCTAATCTGCAAATCTTTCTATTCTAATGGTTTACATTTCCAGAGAAGCTATAATCTCAACTTCTAATCAGTAGCATATCAGCTGGGCAATATAATTTTGTCGATAATTAATTAAGGAAGTATATACATATTTACACTGCTACAGTGCAGCTGAAGAAAGCAATCCAATTTTAAGTTGAATCTTCATCACTGAGGTCTGAGAGAAAACGAAACATTTTAGCTTCATAATTCGTCGGTGAAATGTATAATGTTGACATCAAACTATGAATTTCCTGAAGTTTCTTCAAGCAATGACATAAAATATTCGGTGTATACCGTTTCAGTTCCTTAGCATCTGAATGACTGACGTTTTTCTCATTCAAATAACTTAAGTACGAAAGTTTGACACTTTTTCATTCAGGATATCAAAAGTTTTTCCCATGCACATGTACATAAGTCCTAGTTGTTTGCATATAATCGATAGGAAGTCCTGCACCATTATGGACTAATATCATCTTGAGAAACATTGGAAACCTGGGAGTTTGGTCGTGAGTGCGCACTACTGAGGGGTCCAGTACTAGGGCCAAACAGTTGTCCAGTGCTCCCAAGTCTCCAGTGTTTCCCCAGCTGATGTCAATCCATAATCAATGCCCACTTGAAATAAAGTTACCGTTGAATTATTCTCGCCGTCGTTCGACATGTCTTAGTCGCCTTGCTGACCAGTACAAACAAGCACAAAACCTAGGTCCATAGCTTCCTGCCGATTGTCTTCAACCAAATAACAGCCATCAAAGTGCACCGCGATTGTGAGCTTCCTAGAATAATGACCATTTTGGAAAACTATCGATAGAATTAAGTCAGCACTAAGAACCAGACAAGGAGAACTTGGTTGCTTTTCAGTGACCGATATCTCTATACATACATGGAGAAAAGTAGGTGCTCAGGAAGCCTCAGTTTTCTATAAAAACGGATATGCATTACTGAAATCAGTGAAGAAATACTTGTTTAGAAGTTCACCTGTGTAGTACGTAGATTCTTATTGCAGAATACCATCTCTTTTGAACTTTAAATTAGTTACATGCAGTTTGAAAAGAAGAATCTATACTTTCTACGTAAAGTATGATCTGTTTCCGAATCCTTTGATTACTGGAACGAATTCTATATATCCACGGCGATAATAATATTTCTTTTAGGATAGGAGGTAAATAGTTTAACACTGCTAGTGAAACAGTCTTCACATAATGGTACAAGTAAGGTTAAACGGATCAGGAATAGATCGTTTACATGAACCAAACTGCCTAATTTGACATTAAAACTCATATTAGACAAGATTGAATTTTAGTAGATATTCTTTAGCCTTATTTTTGAAACTGAATTTCGGTTTGTGACCAAGTTACATGAAATATATTGTGCTAGTGTATCAATCATTTCTTATCATTCTTTTGTTGAAATTTATGAATGAGTAAAGAATACTTTTGTGAATATGTGGATCATTCCCAGTCAAAAAAGTTCCTCTTTTATACATGATTATTTAAAGATTGTTGATAGATAATGTAGATAATTAAGTTATAGGCTATTTTTTAAAAGTACCGGAGTCAGTATCATCGTAAATACAGGTATTTAGTAATCCATGTTTGGTCACGACTGAACTTTTTGGTAAAACCATCCTTACTTTTCAGACTGCCTGAAATATATGTACTACTTCTACAATCCTTGTTCTTCCTGTGTTATTCTGAAGTGCTAGTTCTGGTGACTACTAAATGTGGATAATTTAATTCATTACTCAACTGTAAAAGCATTTTATAATGAATAATGAGTTTTTATTGGGACACATAGGTCAATAGTATTAAAATTAGTTTTACTGATTACTGTCTTTATTCATACTTTGTAGATGGACATCAACTTTTGGAGTATTTTTCAAATACCTGGTTATCAGCTTATATTTGATTACTTACTTCTAGATATCTGTTATTTGCAAGGAAATAAGTTTTTGTCGAATTCCTAGAGTCAAAACAGCAACGAAATATTTAGATTACCTTCTTGTTAATCTCATCAATGAGTGCATTCTTAAATACCACTGGTCCGAAAAGGGCCACGAGAGATCCTTACCTGTAATTTCAGCAACTGACTGTAGTTAAGATGTTTTTCAATAAGTATTTATTACTATCTGTGACTAAGTGATAAGTGACTTAAAATTTTACGGTGAATTACGATCAGACGTTTCATACTGGCTGAAAAAAATTTAATAGTGATTAGTAATAGACCATTTAATATAAATAAAGGTTTCAGTCAATAAATAGGTCAGTAGGACTTATTACTTTGAAAATAATGTTTTCGGTAAAAAGCATGGTAACACAAATGCTGCTGGTGTATATGGAGAGACCACGAGACCAGCTGAGTGTTGTTTCTCCCACTGTATTTTGTTTTAATAGACGGTAGTGAAGATAAATAGTTATATATATATATATATATATATATATATATATATATATATATATATATATATGAATTTAATTCATCTCATGTGCTCCAAAATCTTCCACATATGCACTGAATTTAAAATTCTGTACAATTCATACTGTAGGAAACGACAAAACTGAGAAGCAGGAAGGAGTGTTTATTATTGACATCTTGTACAGTAGCCATGAAATATTGTACACTTCCCATTAAAACAGTCATTTGCATAATATGTTTCATTTCATCTTCTACTTCTATCTTGATTTGTTCTCAATACGTCCACATTGTCTCTTACGTTTCTCTGAACAGAATCCTTACCCATTGGCAGTAATTGTCTATGATTTCTACCACCTCTCAACATATACTACTTATATCTATTCTGATCCGCGGTACTCACTACAGCATATGGAAGATTTAGAACACATGAAGTGAATTCTATTCATCTCACAATATTTGTCGTTCTTGCTTCTCAAAAAATTACTCATCAAACTAATTGTATGAAATATTCTGAGTCACGTTGTGTAGCCTTTTTATGGAATTTATCCCCTAAGTAACTAAAAATTAGTTGGGTCTGTGTACATATTCTGAACTCGGTGATAAAAAATTTGTAATATCTTACAAAATAAATAATTTACCAAGCCTAGTTCTAAGTTCATATGAATATAAGTCTGCTTCAACTAGATGTTTCGTTCTAATGTTATTCCTATCCATTCGATCTTTGAATTATACTCTAGAGTATGTGATTGTAATACTAAAGTTTCTCACCTGATCACTGACTGACATCTGTTCAAATCCATACAGAACGCAAGTCTAAAGCTGGCAAATATACCTATCTAATGAGTTTCAAGAAGGGGAATAGCCAACCCTAAAAGGGGTGTTCTACTGAATACCTATTCAAATGCAGCACTAAATAGTCGAAATTTCTTGGAAAATTAGAGATGAATACAAACTTTGAAACTGGTTGTTGTAATAAGTCTCTTCATTTGACTGATAATGCGTGTATGAAGATAGTGATGAATTGTGAAAGTTACGCATTATGTTGAGCAATCAATATAACAGAAACAAACAAAAAATTGAAATACACTCACAGACATACACAAACAGCAATTTAAATACAGAGCGTACATTGTTTACAGAATTTAACGGAAGAAATGGTAGAAAGACAGATAAGTTCACATTTTACAAAGGATAGACCTACGAAGTTGTTGACAAGCTTGCAATAAAACGATTTACTGGTTGACAATTGATGAATGCGGATAAAATTTAAAAAAAGTTGAAAGCATTTCGAGGAAAATAAGTAAATGGAATGAAAATCTGAATGCTGAAATATTACAAAACAACACATCTATGCTTGAATTTGTTTCAGTAATAAGTATCAAATAAGTTCATAGTCAATTCTGAGAAAAGGTTAACCAACAAAAAGTTACAAGTGGATTGTTGATACAAGATTAGGTAAGTATTTTCATTTGTTTCAATGTGGACTGTAGTAGTAACAGCAATAAACGCATTTACATCCTTAAACTCTAATCAGAGTGGAAAGAAATTACACACTTAATTGTCAACAAAAAGAAGTAACAACATCATGATCTTAGTAAATAATGGATAGAGTTAATGACAAACAAGGAAAACATCAAAAACAAAAGAATTTATTTGTTTGAAATGGTAGATTAGTGTCTGCCGCGACTGTTGAACATTGAAAATGCGATATTGAATCATTGGATAAACATTGATTGTTCAGTAAGCAACGGATAAGCAGTACTCCACGTATACATCCACAAATTTGGGTTTAAAACACTGAATAGTATTTTTGGTTTGTACAAGAGAGGAAGAATAGAAACGAGAATTCAAAACTAAGGACAAAAGACGAAGCAATTTAAAATTTAGATGTAAATAAACAGTTACTGTTTAGTGTAGACATGATTAAAATGTCATTTGTTGAAGGTGCATAAAATATACAAACGAATGTACCAACCGGAGAACAACAAAGATGATTAAGAGAAGGAAATTCACAATGAATAGATAAATAGGAAAAATGAATCTCCTTTATCAGATGAATAGACACCATTTGTGATAATGGTTAGTAGGCCTGTAACAGAAATAATTCTTAATCACAGACTCCTGGAGTTGTAAATTGATTTCCGTTTTCATTTCTGTTGGACAATTGGAACCAAGCTTCAATACGACGATACGGTGGTCTAAACACCGCTAGCCATAATTCTCGTCTTTCAGCCTTAGCTCCTGCACCCAATGTCAAACCACCAATAAAATCGTTACTTGGACCACGATCAAAATCCCATACGGTTACTTCAAGTGTCCGACTACCAGCTTCAGATGCATTCAAATCGTAGAAAAATGTCTTGATATTGATAAAAAGATGGAGAAAAAAGAAAGAAATTGATATACTAGGGGAGGTTTTAGTATTTCAGTGTTCCCTTTTTCATAAATGTTTAGAAAAAAAGACAATTTCTAGAAATTGCTTATCACAGTGAACTCAGTTTTGGCTTCAAAACAACTCATCAACAACTTGAAGAGCTCTAATGTAAAGTGGAAAGTAAAGATATGCAAACCAAATGCCAGTTTAGAACCATCGGAAAGTGGTTATATAACGCCTCACCATTCGTATACCACAAGCAATCCATTTTTTATGTTTTGGTGTATGTTACCATGTAACCACAGAGAGAACACATGGTGAGGAAAAAGTCTAGCAAGTTGAAAATTCTATTACAGCTTACTTTTTAACAGAGTGTTTTACGGTGTGACTTTTAATTCGCTTACCGCCTAGAGGGAAAGCAGGCACTAACGCTTGAATGTCCAAGAAGTCAAAGGCACATATGCTTAATATGATTCTTTGATAAAAATTGGTAACCCCTCTTTTAAATGGATTTTGTTTTATGTATAAAGTGGTCAGTGTACTATGAAATGATTCTGTGGTTTACCTTTTCATCACTTTAACTTAAGCTGCCACTAGGTGTTCTGATTACATAAAGTTTGTTACAAAAACATTGAAGTTATCAAATGGTATACAGAGTTATTTTTTGATCAGATTTTCAAGCCTTGTCTTTCAAAATACTGAGATCAACAGCCTAATTACTTTTGTACTGTAATAGTCTGACAAAGACAAATAAAATTACAGAAGAATGATCAACTCTAGACCAAATATTGCCTCAAAAACAATAAAGTAATTAATTGTATTCTCACACAAGACTAGTAGGAGTGTGTTTTGACTGGGTAACTGAATATTTTTATTGATTGAAGCATACGAAATGCGGTATTTAAACTGGTACAAATCCCGTTATAACGGGACAACATAGAAGGGTGACATTAGTGGTGAAACCTTAGCTGTATAGAAACAAAACGATTAAAATGTGTATTACTCATTCAGTTTTAATGCAGTACTTATTATTAGGCTAGTAATACCAAAACTAATAAAAAAAAAGCCAAGAAAGTGGACAAGTAATCAGAAGTAAGCAGAAATGCTCTGCGTTACATGGCTGAGGGCTGCTGACAGTAAAACCTGTTTGGCCTAGTTTTCGCACTTGTTGGAACTTTTCAGCATGAAGTATCTGCAAAGTAAAGGGAATTATTGTCCCCCGAGAGATCCAAAACAGAGCCATCTAGTGCTGCAGTCATGTGTTTTACTGGGGGACATCAGTTCCTTCGAGGTTGGAGACATACCATGTTGACGAGTGCCGTTTTTCTCAAACTATATAACATCAGTCAAAGTGTTGTATGATGCTCAGCCTAGTAGGTTGCTGATCACATTACAAAATGACCTACAGAATTAAGTCAGCACTTAAAAGTATCAGGTGTAAAACTGCTTTCTAACCAATTCATTTTGTTGTAGTCTAAAAAAGAAAACCGATTTCCATCAACCAAGTTATGATCACTATTTATTGACATACTTGTTATTCTCCGTTGTTCTTGTTGAGTCGATTGTTCGACCTCTGTTGGCATATGGGGTCCTATATGGATGCCTCGATATTGCCTAAATGTTAATTATGATAATTTTGTTGGTTCCGGCTAGCAGAAGAATCCAGGACACTCGTTTCGTCCTATCTGGGCGAAGGCACATCCGTCTGACGAGTCCTAAATAGGACGAAAGGCGCGTCCTGGATTCTTCTGCTAACCACAACCAACCAAATTATCAAATTATGATTTCCCATGAACTAGTAGAATAATTAATCAAAAATGTTTGGAAATTAAAATTACTAACAGAGGAGAGCAATATCTTTTCAGTTATTTGATAAAGACTTGACTGTTTGTTCGCCTTTCTGTATACTTTACTCTTTTTGTAGCAGGAATATAATTAGTTTTATTATGAATTGTAGCCTACAGATACGTAGACTTTCAGTTTGTCACTGTTTACATGTAAACGGCCTCTTGTGTTTACGCTTTTAATAAGCAAATACTGTAGTGGGTACTGCGGATCAGAATAGATATAAGTAGTATATGTTGAGAGGGTGGTAGAAATCATAGACAATTACTGCCAATGGGTAAGGATTCTGTTCAGAGAAACGTAAGAGACAATGTGGACGTATTGAGAACAAATCAAGATAGAAGTAGAAGATGAAATGAAACATATTATGCAAATGACTGTTTTAATGGGAAGTGTACAATATTTCATGGCTACTGTACAAGATGTCAATAATAAACACTCCTTCCTGCTTCTCAGTTTTGTCGTTTCCTACAGTACTACTTATTGGAGAATGATGGGTATGATGTAGAACAGAAAAGGATAAACTTTGGAAAGGCATTCTGTTCACTGATGATTTCACCTCAGAAACTAACAGAAATAATTAGGTACAAAACTATGACGAGACCCAGTGACAGCAAAACAAATTCAAGCGCCTTCTTTTAAATTGATTTTGTGCTAAAAATGTGATCAGCTTCCTGATAACGTATAGTAATATATATAGATCAAATAAAATATTTTACGGGAACAGCACGCAGTTCACAACTATTATAAAACTGTTCCTCACTGTATGGTTCACAAATTGGATTGGCTAATGTTGAACAAATACACTTCGGTTATAAATGTATGCTATATTTCTGAAACATGCATACAGAACTCAAGTGTACTTATTCAATTGACCTCATCTGGTCAATTTGCTAAATCTGCGAAATTCATTTTATGCATCTTTTTAAGCTTTTGTGCTGTTTGACAGAAAGGATCTGTGGGAACACTTACAGATACCAGTTGGTAATCTCCACCTACATTGAATACCTTTCGAATGATCCAGGGGATTTATATTGTCAATAGCTTTCAGTTTTTAAAAATAATGTATGACATTCGAAAATAGACATACTTGCTGGTGAATTCAACTTTTGAGTAGAGAAGTTGAGGCAGTTAGAAAGGCACCAGGAACTTTCGATGGCATCCTATACCAACGTAGCAACAACAGTGACCGTCTGTTGCAATCCTGATCCGACAGCTACTTATTCTCAACTAGTACTACGTTTAGACATAAGGAAAGAAATTGTTTTGCCTGGATTTAACTGAAATTACACCAATGATGATCATAATCGCATACATCATGTTGTTATAAGCCATCTTTAGGGAAAATAGATGGAGCATTACTGGTGTTTTTGGATCACCTACTTTAGCTCAGATTATGTACCAGCGTGAGTGTGTACATGTTTGTGCTTTAATGATCACAGGAACCGAGCAGCAATTAAGTTTCTGCTTGCTCGACTGAAAGGTAAGATAATCAAATATATTTAGGGAAGAGATACCAACGCATTTATTTGGACTTGACAGCATTTGGCTCCCTGATGAAGTCTAGCATGATATTAAGTCTCTCGTAGAAAGGACAGTTGATTACCTGCTTCTCAAAGTCAGAAAACGTCAGTTGAATTTCACGTCGTTATTCCAGCCGACTGGTTCAAGAAGACTTGATCCAGCAGGATCTGATGACAAAGAAGAGCGAAGGCAGTTATCATAAGAAGTTGTGGGTTGCGAAAGTGAGAGAGAGAAAGAGAGAAAACACGAGCATTGGGCAATACCTAGCAACTACTTAGCCTTATTAAGGATGCTGAAAACAATAAGACAATAATAAGACCATCAAGAACCGGATGTTTCCCTGATATTTCATGATAAATGGCTAGTATGTTAGGCGGAACCCTTTGGAGCACAGTTTAATTGGGCCATACCAACGTCGGAGTTCCCAGCATCAACTCTCTACCTGAATGCACGCAGATGTCGGTCCTCCAACTCTTCTTGAAGTTGAGAAGGCTGTATCGAACCTGGGACGATGCAAAGCGCGGAACATGGTAGACTATAAGTTTCTAAGGAATTACCGAATTCAGTGTTTGATAGCTTTTGCTAACGTGACTTAAAATTGGTCTCAACAGTGTATATTTATTTGCCACTCAATGTTTTCTGAAGTTTCAACATTTTCATCTAACGTTGATTCTAAAATTCTTTCTCTTTCTGTACACCTTTGTCTACTTTGATATCACTTTTTTCCTTCTCACTTGTTTTTGCATGCACCAGTACAGTGGGGAACTTGAAACGATGTACTTCCATATTCAGTTCTACATGGATTTTGTCTGTGTATAAGTCTATGCGTTGGATTTCCAAACAGTAGTGCAGAGGTGGATACTGTCTCCACCTTCCGATGTTTAGATAGCTAGATAGCATCGTAAAACCGGACATAAACAGGGATACTTCTTATCTCTTGAACAAATCTTCTTGTGATGGCTATGTAACAAGGACTAACACAGTTCACCTATTAAGTGAGTAGGTTTAAGAAGTACAAAACAGTGTGCATTTTGTTGCCTCAGCTTTATATTCACCATTACAGAATGAAATGTTTCTACTTTGATTTTTGACTAAGCAGAATGGATACAATTATAGTTTTCACACCACTTTTGTATTTTCTTGCGTTTTGTGTTGACTTCACGAATTCGGAGCAAATAATATACAGAGGTGAGTATCTATTCTCAAATATCTTATTCATACAGTAAAATAAAGTTGATAGGCATTAAAAGCTTACAAGCTTCAGGGAAAGATATTCTTCTTAAAGACAGCTAATGAACGACTGGGATTGTGGAGATTTCATTTAGGAGGCAAATCCTTATTTGGATTTCTATTGAAAGTATGTTAAAGTCTACTCCTCAAGAGTATGAATAACTCCATGGCCCAACAGTTACTTCTTTCCTTAAGTTATCTGCATAAAAACGGATGTATTAAATAAGGTATATTTTATACCACAAGAAACTGGGTTTTTTTATTTTTACGCATTACACTTCATTCATAGGTGTACTATAAAACAAAATATTTTTCAAGTGCTTTCTTGTTATTTATTTGCAATCAGTATTTAGCTGATAATATGGACCATTATTTTTGTTATAACGGTGAAGCCAAGCACACAGATCACACTAGCCAACCGAAGTCATTTAGGGTAGTAGAACACAGAAATCTTTACAGAAAACATCCCAGCCCCAGTCATGGACGCCGTTACTTACATTCACGCAGTAGGATGAGATTGAGTGATAATTCTGAAAAATATATGCAGAGATTGATCATTAAAACCCTGTCTAAATTCTGCTTGAAACATCACCAATAAATTGTACTGTTTCACTGTGTGATACATGCAAAATAGGGACTGTAATGGGATTATACTCTACCACAGCGCCAAAATTCTGTTCTCATCTTCGAGATCATTTGACTGTAATAAAGTTGAAAACTCAGTCACGTAACTACAATGAATAGGATTGATCAAAACTCTCTATCTCTTGAGGTTGTAATACATTTTGTTGCTGGCTGAAGCCTACTTAGTGAGCATCTATAGTCAGCCTAACATATCTTGCGTCTCTAAACAAGCATCTTTGAACCCCATCTCATCAAAGTCTTAAGTGTACATATTAAAATTTCTATGATTATGAAGTATTCATATAAGACAGCTAGCTGTCCGCTGACACCGTGATTGGACCATGTGCACTGCAAAACTGCAAACCCATTGCTTATGGTCTGCAAATGTCCATTGGTTAGGTAATTTGATGCACGGAAGTATATTATATCTACCCAACAGTCACCAGAAATATTTCTAAAACTTCTTACCTCATGAAATTCTGGGAACAGTGTGGCCTTTTTAATTTGAGTTTTTTGCTTTGTCTTCTTTGTTTTATCAGGTCGAAGGTATCTGTGAATAACAGAAAAAGTAAAATTAAATCAGAATATATCGATAGACAATTTGCTTGGCTGTGGCTAGCAGAAGGATCCAGGATGTGCGTTCCATCCCATTTGGGACTCATCAGCTGGATATACCTGCAACCCAGGGCGGAGTGATGTTATTCCCACTGAGACTGGAACCTGGTACTGAACGCTTTAAATGACACAGCGTTATCCATTAGGTCACAGAGATACGATATCCACCTCTTGTACAACGGGTATTAGTTATTACTATTGTTGATATGCTTGTAATTCTCCACTGCTTTACTGGACCGGACTGTTTGGCCTCTATTTGCATGTGGGCTAGCGTGCTTTCGTGGCATATTGAGTAACGTTAGGGTGTCTGAAGCGTTAGGTACGAGGTTGGAGCCCCAGCAAGAACAACATCACTCACTGGGATACAGGTACACCAGCTGACGAGTCCGAAAAAAGAAAAAACGCACGTCCGGGGTTCCATTACTAGCCACAACCAAACAAATTACCATAATTAATATTCAGGTAATATCGAGACATCCACATAGGAGCCCATATGCCAATAGCGGTAGAACAATTCGATCCAGTAAAACAACAGAGAATTACAAACATCCCAATCAATAGTAACATCGATGGACAGTTACTATTGTGCTGAGTGTTTCATTTTCTATAATGAAAATATCAATTTTACTAAAGATTACCCAAAATGCCTAGATGGTTTGTATAGCTATTTTCACCAATCAACAGCCGGATAATACAAGCAACAACATACGAAGCTATGGCCGTCGCACAAGAGGTGGCTGTCATCACTCGTGGTCTAGTGGAGAAGGCGATCGGTCCAGGGTTCGTGTCTTAGTCGGGTTATCATCGCTTACTGGAGAAGCAGATACATCCAGTCAACGATTCTCAAGTAGGACGAAAGAGGCGTTCTCCATTCTACTGACACACAATATGAATCATCGCTATAATATGGAAAGGTTCGTCTTTGGAAATTGCTTGGATGAAAGTTCTAGGGTAACAGAGAACCTAAACTATCTTCGTTCTTCCCTGTAAAATATCAACATATAAATAAAGCTGATAATTACGTGTCAACCGAAGTCAGTTTATAATAGTTATAATTTATTCTAATGACCTTATGAAATGAGTTAACCAGTCACTCTTGGTTAAGTGACTGAAACGAACTGGTTTGTTGACGGACGTTCAGTTGAATTTTTAAACAATGAAACCAAAGTCACAAAAAATAACATCACGAAACAGGTACTGTTGCATAAACAGGAGTATAAAGAGTTAAAGTTCGACATTTGGGAATAGATTACATTACATTATACAGTTAGCGCCTAAAACTGATGAAAATACATTGAACTCACTTTGAGTACCTTCTTTGACATTGTAAAAGATCTTCAAAAAATTGTCACTACCTCCAAACCTTTGCAATTTTACTAAAATTCAAAACTATGCTTCGTCAGTGGCTACTGAGATATCCAGTCACATGCGTGATAGATGTTGTGAAAACAGAATGATCAGTTATCATATTTTACAGTCCACGGTGACATTTCTCACAGCTAAGTGGTTTTCTAGCTTCCCTGATGAATTGGTTAACAAAATCTACAAATCAATGTGAGTGGTTAGTAATTACTGATGTTTTTCAGTGGTCTGTTACGTTAAATACTATGAACTTTTGAGTAGTTAAGTGCATTTTTGTACGTTATCTATCTTCAGCTTTCATACCTCGCCGTTATGCATCAGAATGCAGACATGACAGCTATATATTGGATTATAAACCTTGATATCATCCTGTCATCCAAAGTAAAATAAGTTTGTGAAAATTTTATTCCTCCATATACTAATACAATCAATAATATACTAATCAGTTTGCGTAAATGAAAATCGACTTATTATTATGATGATACTGTGTAGGGGATAGGTGATAATTTTTAAATTTTTCGCCATTATAAAGATTATCTTTCAATTTAAAATACATTATAAGACCTCACTTACTCCAAAGACAACTGGAATATCTCTTTCTTATATGTATTAAATGTTCACGAAAGTAAACCGTGATGGACTGATGATGAGAACATTTCATTGGATGCAGAGTACCGAGTAATGAGTGGACATACTACTATTATAGTTGTCAAAGGTCAAATAATACATATAAATTAAAACACCTAATGGACCATTGTACACAATTTTGCACTGATAATTATTATCACCAAGGTTTGGACTGAAACTCAACTCAAGGTGTTGATGAGCTGTTTAAACACCATGTTGCTTTTAACCTTACCGTCAACCAATAAAATCTGTAAAAAGCTCTATTTGTGGACTGATTTATTGACTTAGTTGGAATTCATCATGGACTGATATCAGTTCCTTCGGCTGACATCAATCTGTGATGAATTCTAAACTAGAATCAATTGATAAAACCTCCACAATTCCCAAATAGAATTATTGTAGCGCCCACTGGTGACTGGCTTCGAGAGGTGATTCCCGAAGTTCCAATGAGAAGTCATAACCAGTGGAGCCAACCTAGTCGAACATGAGGACAGCTATTTAACTACAACATCGGACCGACATCTTGCTATGTCATGAACTGACAGAAGTAGGAAATATGGACCACTGAATCCCGACCCATTGACTCAATGATAATGAACTGGCCGTAGGACCCGAAAGTCCTGAGTTCGATTCCTGGTGGTGCGGAGTCATGGGTGCGTATTGGTGAGGATTCTCATACTAAACGAAACAGCTGTCCAGTGCTTCAAGGCTTCCAATGTTCCTCCAACCGATGTCAGTCCATGACTAATTCTAACCTAAAATCAATTACCGAACCTCCACAAGTGTTAAGGAATACCAATTGTCAAGATCAGCAAAGACAAACCGTAAGAGATATTAGATCCAACACGAAACTAACTACTCTGTATGTATACTTATTTCCATGAGTGATGTAAATTAACTTTGTGATTGTGTAAGAAAATGCATTTCTAAAGACTTATCGGTAAATGAAAGCTTATCGTTCCGAATAAGATTTAAAAAAAGACTATTTGACATTGAACAGATTTCATACTAACTTGTATGTCAGTTGGACGGTAGCAATCAGCTGGAGGCTGTGAACTCAGGTTCCGTGTATTTCTGGTGCTCGTCAACAAGCCATACTGCAACCTCGACGAAACTAATGTCTGGTCTGGGATTCAAACCCACGTCACCCAGTGCTGTAGTCAGAGACGTTATCACTGAGCTACGTTTTGCTGCTATTGACCTCCTTTAGGATTGGATAACATACAATAACTGGGTACTCGAGGATAACCAATAAATGAATGGCCCATAAAAGGTTTACTGCTTTGATTTCCACTTAGGGTTTAGTTTCTCATATGAAATGATCAATTCTTCTTACCAAAAACCCAATAGGTTGTCTAACTTGTAGGGAGTTAGTAAACGTAAATTCTAGGTTAAACATTCTTGCTTGTATTCTAGTTGCTTACACCTTCAGTCAAGACAAGAAACCCATGACCTGATTACGTATTTGAAAGCGTTGGTTTGCACTGTTGTAACTTGGTTCTGCCAAAACCGTACACCTAATTCAATAGGTTTTACTCTTTACTTAACACCGTCCTTAGGTTAAAGAGTCCGCTATTCTATCACTTGGATTTACAAGTGAGACTTCATTATGAGAACAATGAGAATTATAGTAATCAACGAATATCAAAGTTATTTAATTAGAAAGGATATTTCATCCATTTAATAGTTTTAAGATTTGTATACCTTACGTTATCATTGCTACTAAAAAAAGCTGGACGAGTATATGTTTTGGCTATGTAACAGCTATCTGAATGATGGAAATCAACTCAGATGGTGAAGGTTTGAGTATATACTGAAATTATATGACATTTTTTTATTATCCAGCATAGAAAAGAGTGATAATATGCTTTGCATCCTGTTATCACTTATATTTGAAGACGCGTGAAAATAATCAGGTTTTATTAATACTATTATATCCTTCCTTCCTTCCTCACTCACTCACTCACTCACTCATTCACCCACCCACCCACCTACCCACTTACTAACTCAATCACTTCTGTCTTCAAATTTCCAGTTTATCAGGTAAAGTCTCCAGAGTTTATTGATTTATGTTATAATAAAACTGAATCCTTTTCCTCACTTCTATTTATTTTTTTTTATATTGTTAAAATAATTAAATAAACCTTGCTTGTATTAAAAGGAAAATGCTATCAAACGAATAGAAAAAATCTAGGTCAAATTTTACTAGAATTTATGATCGACCTAAAATGATGGTTTTTACATAATAATTAAATTGAAATTGAAATTTTCAAAAGTAACATTAGGAAATATATTACAGGTCAACTTTTTACAGTAAATGATTAATTACAACTCAATGAAATCCATCAGTGCTTCATTAATAAAAGCAAGAATGACTAAGTCAACTATTTTATGAGTGCACTGATCATACAAAAACCAATAATGGTTTGTAGACATCTGAAACTTGCTAGACAGTGAGAAGTGAAAAGCTATAACGCATCGGTCGACAATGAAATATCTCAGTAAATTAGCTTCATTCTAACTCATTTCCTTACCGAAACACCTACGTGATACTATGACTGAGCAGGTTTCTGAATATCTCTTATTCATTCCCATAGTTTCTCTTCCAGGAAATATGCAATTGAAATATAACTTAATTCAGAACGTGATTGCCTAAAGGCAATTATAAAGTTATAAGCATCCATTTTATAATAAGGGAGTTGAGCTTTCAACAGGTGAATTACTGAAATGATTTCCAGTGACTGGTAGGAGATTTAACCTGGTCCAATCGGTGGCATTGTTTGTCATCGGTGGTTATTGCACAGGTTATCAGCACCTCATAGTTTAGAGTTGAGTTATACTTTGGGCCTTTTATTACCTCTGTAAAACGTCCAATGCAGATTATTCACTAATATGTGCAATAGATGTGGTATTTTAGACAGGTTAAAGGTTAGGTTTTGTCATAAGCTGTTACCATGTATTCGATGATCAAAATTACTGGTATAACAGAAAGATTTCTGTACTTCATCCAGAACTCCCAGAGACCAGTTTAAAAGATTATCATGTGCTTACTGAGTTTTGAAGCTTTGATCTAAATGTGAGTATCTTGTGTGTAAAACGGTGTATTCGATTCTCGGAACAGTCTATTCACTATGGATGACATTTCGAGCAGATATTGGTGAAAAATGAAAGTGAATTGAGCAAAATATATTTGAAATGCGTTCGAAAACTATTTGTAATATGTGTCTTGAGCATACTGCTTTTTTTTCAACAAGTTTTGATCCCCACCCCAGGTGACAATCGTATAATAATCGCCTTTTCGTCAATATAACTGAATGTATCTTAGTGTTTGCTTATGGTAAACATGGTAAATAAGAATCTGCATCTGACTGAATTTATTTAGGTAATAACCGCTCACTACATTGAAAATTGCTACACAGCGAAAATTGTGAACATTCAGAGGACGTTTTCTTTAACTTGAGACCTTGACAAAATATCAGAGAAAAGTTGAAGTTAGTGAGTGATTGAAACGCCAAGTCGGAGAAGGTTGTATACAGAAGGGTACTAAATTTCTTTGAATTTACCATTATACCTTGCCAGTGAATCTCACCAGGAATGAAACTAATTTGAGTGGACCAAGACACTGGGTTATTTAACTATCACATTATTACTTCTATCTGGAGGTTTGTGGAGATTTTATTATTTGATTTTAGGTTGAACTTCATCAGAAACTGATATCAGTTGGGGGAACATTGAAGATTTGGGAGCACTGGATAGTTGTTTCGTCCTATTTTGGAACTCTTCAGCAGTGCGCACCCATCACCCCGCAGGGATCATGAGGACAGTTACTCAGCAACGGTATTGGATGTTGGTCGCTCCATATCGTGAACTGACAGAGGTAGGAAATGTGAACCATTGGATTCTGACCCATTGGCTCAATGGTAACGTGCCAGTCACGGAACTAAAGGTCCTGGGTTCGATACCTGATGGTGTGAGGTCATGGGTGTGCACTCCTGAGGAGTCTCATACTAGTACGAAAAAGCTGTCGAGTGCTTACGGGTTTCTAACGTTCTTTCGACTGATGTCAGTTCATGGTGAATCCCAACCTAATATCACGTTATTAGTCTGAAATCTTGAACTCCATCAGCATTTGGGATTGGGTTGCTCATTATCCAGATGTGAATAGCTGGGATTTTCAGATGATCTCAGTAATTGCCTCAACATACCTTCCATTTGAAATGCGATGATTATCTGATGACGCCTAATTGTGTAATCCAGGATGTGGGTTTCAATGTTTCAATAACTATCTGTTTAAATTGCTCTTATTCTGACGATTTGTCATCGAGATTTCAGGAGAGCAAACTAAATATACAGTAAGTGGTTTCTGTAACTAAAGATCATGGTAATTAGAGTAGTGAGAATTAAAACAGCAGACATTTGATTATGATTACTACGAGACCTGATGAAAAGTGAATTGTGGAGTAAGGTGTTAACCAACTGACAGTTGATAACAGTGTTCAAATAACATTAGCAACATGATAAATGTTGACATAAGCTAGTTGACAAAGAAAGTAGACTGTATTTAAAGTAAATAATATTTACTGGGCTGATAAGAACTGCACTTTGTTACCTTTTTTATTGAATCTAAATGAACTTGAGTATAAATCTGAAGAAGACATTGACTTCAGCTCTGATTTATTTTTCTGAATATAAAAATACTTCTGTTAGAATTGGTTATCAGATGGAAATATCACTAGTCAATGTTTGCACATTTTTGCTATTTCCCTTTGCTATACTGGGTCGAATTACTCGATCTCTGTTAGCAAATGGGCTCCTATAAGGATGTCTCAATACTGTCTGGATATTCACCGTGCTGCAGTCCATCTGTGGCCTAGCAGCGACAGTCAGGATGGGTGTTTCGGTCCTCTTGGGGCTCGTCAGCTGGATATACCTGCACCCTTGTGAGTGTTGTTGCTGCCGCTGAGACTCGAACCCAGTACCTATCTCTTTAAACGCGAAAGCATTATCCAACAGCATCCACAAGTATCGAGGTATCCGCAAAGGAGCCCATATGATGGAAGAAGTGAAGTAATTCGATGCAGTATAGCAACATAAAATTACAAGTATCAGTGAACAATAATTGAAACCCGCGGCTCTCGTGCTTCATTGCCCTAGTGGATAGGGATTTGGTGCTTGAAGAGGCAAGCAATAAGTCTGAGTTTGAGTGAGAACATCCAGCTGATGAGTCCCGAATTGGACGAAAGTCCCGTCCTGTATTCCACTGCTAGGTATTAAATAGACTATAATTTAGCGCATTCAACTTGAAAATCAGATAGAAAATGAATTTCCACGGATTTTTAATGACTACTAATGCTTTCATAAGATAATTTCAGTGATAAGTAATCGGAAAAATCTGCAGTAAGACGGTAGATTGTTGCCAGTGGCATATATATATCAGCACTAAATTAATGTTTCTTACAGTGGGTACATGTTAAATAAAATCTTACGACAGTAGATATGATTTGCATTTACCGATGAGGATGATAATGTTTTAGTGTTCTTCAAGCTGTTCTTAGATGTTTCATCCTCTGACCAGGAGATTTCTTCAGAATTTAATTCAAAAAATTTTAATAATGGAACTGGATAAGTTTAACACCACTGGTATACGGTTATTTTGGTAAAGATACTGTGAATTATGGCAGTACCATTTAATGTCAATTCCTGAGAGAAACAAAACTGTGAAGAAACCATTTGATGATATTTTTTAACGAGGGTGATTAGCAACACCCGCATACTATAAAAGTCACAAGAAGTAACTGGATCCATTCAAGTCTATAAAAAGCAAGTAGTAAGTTAGTAAACAACTCTTCATTCCTATCCAAATTAGATATGGAATATTATGATATCTGCATAAAGAAAAGATATTCTTACATAAATCGATTAGTTTGGTCCACATAAGTTACCATTTTAGAATAAATTCGATCATCACAGAGTGTTAGTTCAGGTTTCTGTTAGCTGAAAGAAAGTTAAGGGTAGCCAGACTAAAAAGTGGCATCAGTCGACGAAGTCTCTGACCGCTAGGAATGTAGATTTATTGGTTGCAGTCCGCAAAACAATTACAATGGAATACACACATGCATCTATCGGTTATTTTTATCCTATTCATTGCGTAATATTTTCTTATTGGTTTACCTCCCCTCTTGTTCTCTTTTCAAAGCTCCCAGTGATTTTGATTGTACTTCTCCCTTTTTCTGTTTATCTTCCATCGTGCTGGCTTGCATCTTGATATAATGACGTGAGACATGGCAACTCTGACAGTTGTGCAGAAATGTCAAATCTCATGTTGATACTGACTGACTGGTTGATGATCTCTGATAGATGCACATCACTGTTCTGATAACTGCTCTACCAACATTCACAGTTGATTTTCTATCTGTTTGGATGAGTGAGTCAACTTATGTGCTTGGTTTTCTTTTCAGTAGGTATTTAAATTCGTATATAATCGTCACCTACCTGTCACTGCTCTTTTGTTAGAATCGCAAAGTACTAAGGATATTATTATTGCTGTCAGTCCATACCATATATTAAGAAAGAAATTATTTTTATCGCATCCAAAGAGTGAAAAACAAAAGACGAACCAAAGCTTACAGTTTTACGAAAGGATCAGAGAACCCATTAGGATCCATTGGAGCTAGATCAGCACAGCGAATTACTTCAACGTATAGTTGTTTACGATCTTCCAAGTAACCAAGACCAAGGTGAATTTTGCCTCTCGTTGGACAGGCTAGATCATACTCTCCACGTTGTACCTAGTTAACAGAATATAAGAAATTAATTAACAAGGTATTAGTTGAAATTTCTTCAGAATAAACTTTTAGACTGAGTGCTTTTATAGATTCAACTAGAAGTCCCTGTGCATTAACGGATCATCTATATAACTAATCCAGCATGTTTTGTCATGCATAGTTGCCACTTATGTTTGAAAGTTTTACGATAAAATTCTGTGATGGCAAATGCTATCAACTGATCTCAACAAGACTAATTGTTGAAATACCTGAACTTTTGGTTCAAAGGTAACTTCAATGCGATTTAGGCGAATTCATATGAAACGGAATCGAAAAGATCATATGGTTAAATAACAATGCTGTCTTACAAGTAACAGATTAGAAGTAAGCGGGTTGTTTACCTAAATTTGGAGAAAATTTATTATCACTGACAGTTTATTTGTTAATGGGAAAGATTTTGCATAATTTCGTCAAATTTTGATTAGCTGGTGGGTTAGAAACACCATGTCAGTTGACGGTTAAGTAGTTACGTTCACGAAAATAAACTATGGGGATTTAAGTGTTTGGGGTTGGAAGGTTGAGTTTAAAAAGTAATTAGGTTCACTTGCTGAAATCATGGAATTAGGGTTGCTATGATAAGTTACTGAACAAGGTTGCTTTCCCGCATTGAGGTCAGTTTTTCTACTATCGAAAGCTGGCGTTTATGGTGTAAGACGTAGAGAAATGAATTGGTATCTGATTGCAAAAACTGATACAAAATGTTTTTTTTTTGAGAAACGACCAAAATTTAAAACACTCTCATGAATATTGAATGAAAAACACATCAAAATTACCGGTTTACGTGGACCCAGTGGAACAGCAAAGTCAGTTAACCGGTTAGGAATCAACTGCGATAGTTGTAAACGATACTCTCCAAGCCAATCAGAACCGTATAAATCCTCATCCAAAACAGCTAACCTAATAACACAAGTGAAGGCAATGAAAAACATTAGAAAAGCAACATCTGTTAGTGATAGCTAATCTGCTTTATAAAATACAGTTAATACTCAATTTTCTGCTTGTGGAACTCAAATGTTTACTGATTCGCAGTCAAACCAACGCACAGCGTAATCAAAACAATCTATGTGCAGACGTGAGCTTGGTACGGATTAAGCATGAATCTTCAGTGATTTGACTTAACGCTTCTATAAACTTATTGATAATAATGTTTACTACTATCTTTATCTATTACATTGAAAAACTCTGAAGTTTATACAAAGAAACTACAGGATTATATGAGATTTAAGCTATACATTTGTATAAATCTTGGGTTTTCTGAAGTGGAATGATGACAGGATTTATCACGGAAGTTTTATGCGAGGTTGACCGTCGAGGGTCTATATAAACAGATTAGTCCAAATAGTTTTAACTGTCTAGTCGGAGTTTAACAGATTGTCTTAGTTTCATCTACATTATTTGTGCATCAATAATAATGATAATAATAATAATAACAATAATAATAATAATAATAATAATAATGACAGTCTGGATTTATTTAATACACTATTATTGTCATTCATTTCTAATTTATTCTCATACCACAATGAAGAATTTGTTGATATCAACTTATCCTTACACGCTTACAGCAATGATATGTATACCGATCTCATTTCAGTTATCGTACATGCACATACAATTAAGGGATAAATATATTGTACTCTATGACCTTACTGTATTTGCAGTAAAGAAGGATATGGATAACAATACACACATACCACATAACAGGATACATTTATTGAAGGATTTTAAGGTAGTATCCACCAAGGACCGTCTACTACCCATTGGTGACCTTCTAGTTGAATTTCTCAAAGTTTTGATGAAAGGTAGTGTTATGGTTTGGAAACTACTATGTGCTATAGCTGGTAACGATGCACAAATATCGACTGTCAGCCCCTAACATTAAACAAATTCCTGGTTGATTCCCCCACCCGACTACTAAGTGGAGAAGATACGATGGACGTGTAGAAACGTATATTTAGGTCAAAAGACTCAAGGCTGGATGATGGAAGAGTTTATTTCTTCGAGAATATAATAATGAAAAATCCCAAAACACGTGAATAAGTTCATACATGAAAAATGACCTTGTCCGCAATTTGAGACATTGGCATAGTAAGAGTAAAGATTAGCGAATCGGCGAATTACATTACAATGCGGGCAGAAATTAAACTACTACTCATGCTGTCGAAATGGTGTGAGAATGACAAGTTAAAAATGTTCAGACCAATAACAATGTTTTATGCAAAACTAGGGCCTCACAACAGGTATCGGCATGTGGGGGGAATGAAGTCAGATATGAGGATAAACACTTGCTGATGGCATTAAATTTTGGTCTGAGTATTTCACAAACTGACACAAGTAGATAAATGTGAATCAATGCACTCCGACTTAGTGGAAAAACGGTTACGTGTTCGCTATGAGACTCAACGGTCTTGTGCTGGTCCCATAAAGAGGTCCTGCGTTCACGTTGCTGAGGCACTCCACAACTTTTCTTTACTTCTAGGTCATCAAAGTTTCAAAAACTGATCTAAGTTCTTGATAATTAATACCTTGAAGTCAGTCACTTTCTTTAAACTCCTAAAACTGGATAAACTGAGTGATTCGTAATCACAAGTTAAAAGAAAATAAGGATAAGAAGATTAAGTACACGTTTCCGATGTCATATATATATATATATATATATATATATATATGAGCCTTTCATTTCTACTATTTCCTTAAATTATCTTGGACCAGGTTTAAATGAGGAAAGTTAGAACTATTCTATTAAAAATACTCTGTGATTTGTTTACTTTCCTCTCATATCTGAAGTAAACTTATCGCTCGGTGGCCGATTTTTAAATGATACCATACATTAATGTCTTGATTACAGTTCATATAAACCCCAGATTTATAGTAAACTAATCTCATACTGTTTGATCAGATATGATGATCAAATTGTTTTAAGGGCGTTCATAACACCCATAGTTTGGATATTTCAGAACGGTATAACCAATAAGCTGAGTTATAGTAAAAGTCTGAAAGGGTAAAGGAATTTATTTGAAAGAGTAAATGTTACTTGTTGCCTAAATAAATAAAATATTTTCAAATAAACCGGGTGTGTTTACCATGTTTTCTGTTTTCTTTTTCTTCTGTGTAGAAGTTGTTTTAGCATTTAACATTCACAAAATTTCGTCGATTAAACTGATTACACTAGTAATGCATATTTGAATAGTTGCTCATTTTTATTCTCTATATCCTACCAGTGTAACATTCAGGGATGGATAACCTGTGAAAATGTACAGATAATCTTGTTTGACCCTACTGATCATAGGACATATCTATGATACTTTGAAAGAATTGAGCATAAAGGAAATAAGGATTTGTTTGTCTCGCTAACTATTGTTTTCAAGTGTTAAGGAAATTTACAGCTACATAAATCAATCTAACAACATGGCTGACATACTATGATAGCAATTGTACATATTCTAGACATAAATATACAGATAAGTAGCTCAATATCCTTTTGTATGACAAGTTACAACATAGGTTCAGATCATTTTCAGAATCTTCTTATCAAATATCTTAAGCTTTGTCTCTTGAAGAAGGCTTTGGCTGATATTGACCACATGAATCAATGAAGCTTCAGTTTTCAGACAGAAATTGAACTTAATAATAATAAAAGGTGAACATTGAATATGGCATTTAAAGTGTTTTTCAACTTCTCAGTCAGAGGTGTCAGTAGGTTTTCTTTTGGAGGCCACCCAGCCAAGACAACAAGGTTTGATTTGTGACACAGAAATGCCACGAACTATCGAGATACACTACTAGTTAGAAATCACTTAGGAGGATCTGTAGATTTCGCCAGGCATCCGATGTTTAGATCAGTTTGATTTGGCTAGCAGAGTCTACAGATCGGCCTGAGTGATTTTTAACTACTCAAAGTTTTCAGTGGAATAGTTTGTTATTACGGTATCTATCCACCACTCACTAATAATTGATGGACATTAGTCCGCTTGTTGGAAAGTGATATAGAACGTTTCTTCCTTGAAGAGGGTTCTTCAAAAGCTGTTCGGCAGTGAAAACTATCTTTAGATCCTTCAGCAACCTCAAATTATCAAGTTTGATGCAGAATACAGTCATCAATGTTCATAGAGTGAAGCATCATTTCTTCGTAGCATTCATAGCTTGACTTCAGAAGAACACTACCAATATGGTAAGCATGTGCGGACCTGACATGACTTTACCTAGAAAGGAAAACGTCAAGACAGCAGGAATTTCTTGTTTAACACCAATAATACCTTAAATGTTACAGAGTGTATACCACTGAATGAAATAAGTAGCAAGTCAAACTTGCTAGTCGTAATATCTTTACCTCCTCGATAAAAGTAATCTGAACATCAGGAGACCACCTTATTTGTGTTGTGGTTAGGTCTTTTATGACTTTAACAAGGATAATCTGACTAGAAGTAGCCTGGCTGTTCGAAGCGATCTAAGTGAAGCTAGATATGCATAAGCAGAAAAAGAAGGGACAATTGCATCCTGCCTTCCAAGAAGTAGTGTTGGCTGAAGGTCATGTCTTTTCCTAGCAGTTAGGTCTGCTTGTAATAATTCCTTATATGGCTCATATCAGCTGAAAAGCTTTTCCTTGATGTTCTTTCATGCCACACTGTCCGATAGAGAAAGGAAAGATCGAAAGCAGTTTCTCATAACCCCATAGATAAAGTATTTTGGTTAACTATCGTACAATGTATTTGAAGAAGGGTTTTGCCCAACAATATTCTTTTTTCAATTTTTTAAAGCAAGGTTAAAAAAGATTGCAGAAATAAAATAAACACCTTAACCCTTCCTGGAAAAGTTCCAGTACCGTGGGAAGGGATAAAGAAAGAATAAGACTAGTAGGAAGCGAATCAGGTATCTAAAATAGGTTATGCAAATAAAACTTCAGTCAATCATATTTGGGTTCTGTGGTCATGGGCGCAGGTTGATATACCTACTAATGTGAATCTAGTTCCCGTTTTAATTAACTAGAACATACAAATACATTTTCTGGAATCTAGTATTCCTATGCTGGAAGTTGATACAAAGTAATAAATAAACTACGAGACAGATTCAATTAACACAAAAGTTATAGATGAAGCTTCGAATGTACCATTACGACATATAAACTGATATGCATTGAAATAAAGGGCTTAAACCGAAAACTGCAAAACATAAAGGCTTGAATCAAACATTCTCCACACTTCACTATTTGAATATCACTACAACTACTACGCTATACACACACCAAGAAGTTACCATCTGGACTGAACACAAAACAAGATAATTGCAACGTTTCAAATAACAGACTTTCTTCTACTACTATAAAATAAACATCAAAGGCTGATAGCTTACTATCTTTGTGTATTCTGTGACAATACTTAATTCCATGTTCACAACACACTAGGACTTATAAAAAATGAAGCAACTGATTTCATACATAAAAAATGGAATTTGCAAAATCATCAATTTCATTTGACATACAGTTGTTTCATAGCCATAACTTTTACGGAATTGGGTGGGGAGTTGATAGAATACTCCTCAGCTGAGTACTATCAAATTAGTCTTAAGTGGAATGTCATTCGATAATAAACCAACTAATACAGCCAATAATGTCAGTTTGAGTTGCTTTTTTTTCAATTCTCCAGTCCATTATAACATGACGGTACGAAATTGCATATGCATATAGTTTATAATTATGTCATTATAATTCATTCTAGTTAATGACTAATTGATCTTAGAAATCTGATATATCACAAAAAAATATTTGGCTAAATTCATTCAGTAATAATATTGGAAACGAATGAATAAATTGATTTAGATATAAATATTCTTTTGAACCTGTCAAAATTTCAGTTGACAATAATCATACTTGTACTAATGTGTCTCTATAAATGGTGTCT